ATTGAGAACACATTTGTGGGATTTTGTAAACAGAATCGAGGAAAATCTTGTTCATCACTACTATTAATACTTCGGCAATCTAAGATAAGTAGATTGAAGTGTGATTGAACAGCATACATGAAAAGTGATCTTACGATGTGTAAAACCATCTTTAAATTAAGTTCACCAATAAATAGCTTAGAGTGCCACAGATATCTTAAAAATTTTACCAAGCATTTGACTTTAATGTACAGTTATGAAATAGTATAGGCCCATTTCATCACACGGGCGTTACGACCGAGTAAGGTCGTTCCCGTGTGAGACGAAGTCGACTACGGGATTACCATACGAGTCCGGTACAAACATTTTGGACTAGCTACGCACGATAGTTTACGCCATACCACTAAATCTGTACAAACCCTTATATATTACCACCAACTAGATGACTAAAAATCACTAGTCTTGACCTCTAAGAGAGGTTATCTTTTTGTTTATAACCACTCATTGCCACCCAAATAATCAGCTGATTCGTGTCCGGTAAAACTCTTTACAGAAGTACGCAATGAAACCCCATTTGAATAGGCTGGTGGCAAACAGCTGTTTTCTGGACTAAATCCTTGCGTGGGATGTTCGTCAAAATAGTGTAGTGTGGCGTAATAGTATATTACGTTACTAGTCCTGAAAATAAGTGTTTGGGATTACCATACGAGTCCGGTACACACATTTTGGACGAGTTACGTACGATAGTTTACGCCATACTACTAAATCTGTACAAATCCTAATATTTTTTCACCAAACTAAAGGGCTAAAAATCACTAGTCATAACCTCTATAAGAGAGGTTATGTTTTTGTTTATAACCACTCATTGCCACCCAAATAATCAGCTGGTTGGTGTCCGGTAAAACTCTTTACAGTACAGTAGTACGCAATGAAACTCCATTTGAATAGGCTGGCGGCAAACAGCTGTTTTCTGGACTAAACCCTTGCGTGGGAAGTTCGTCAAAATAGTGTAGAGTGGCGTAAACACATTTATGAACATAATTACTGTATTGTTGTTGTAAAGAGTGTAATAATAGTTTCGGCACTATATCAATCCATTAAAACACACTAAAGTTAGGTGATATGTCTTTGTAACGACCCGATTGTTGTCGGAGCCAACAGGATATTAGCTTGACCATTACTTGATTACCAACACAGCTTCCTGTCCTAACCACACAACTGATATGATTAGCCTACTACTGTTTACTATTGCAGTTTCAAAACACGAACCATTTGTACTCTATGTTATTATGTCACACTAGTGGCTTGTAGGGGCAATAGCCCCTATATTATAGCTCAGAGTAAATAAAACAAAATTTGTTTTATTTACTCTGAGATTATAGTAATTATTTTGTACAAATTATTGGTCTCATGGGTTACCCTACCTTGAATTATCATTTAACTTTTTTATTATGATATGTATAATAGTTATTACATACCTGCATAATGTGTTTTGATGTCTGCTCTATTTAAAATACAAATTCCAAAGGATATGCGGTGTGTTTATAATATAAACTTTCAAATCATAATACAACTAAGGAACATTTTCCAATAACAATCTTCATGACTATTAATTAAATATATATAGATTTCTTTAAATATAGACAAATTCACTTAGAAAAACACATATAGAGATAATGTCATCATCCAAATTGTAAAATGCTAATTAATTCTATAACAAAATCTCTCTGAAACAACATTTGTTGTTTAGTATCCATTTTGGTCTATTCCTTGGCCTTTATTTGGTTCTAGTGCTATTAACATCATCTACCCTCTTTACCCATCTAAAAGCAATATAAAGTTGACCATGGGTAAACACTGGGATTTTCAAATAAATGCCATCTTTTGTGAAGGTTCGGCCTTGCGCCACAATTTCACCAAATCAAATTGTGCAATGCACCACAATGAATGCATCCATCGTTCATTGGCCCTATGCTGTGTAATGCAATCTCATTTAAAATTGGTAATCTATACACAGGAATAACTTCATGTTCATCCGATGCTCATTTATTCTTCTTCCATTAATATCGTGCCAAATCTGGCGCCTGTAGTTCTCATTTCGAGGAACAATACCTCTGAGTGGTAGTCTTCCGACATTATACATTATTACTGTGCAAGCCATTGTAAAGTATTAAGTGTAAAAGTATCAAATTGTTTGTTCAAAAGATTTGATCTAATTTTCACTTTGTGTTGTTTACTACTTCACTAACAACTTTACAATAACAAAATAATGCACATTCAGGTGTGGTTATATTTTTCAATTTATATAATCACAGCTGTGTTTGCACTAAATAAAAAGACATAAAATTAGATTCCCATGCTATTTAAATGTGAATTGTTTTATTCCGTAATAACCTTTTGGTGCATAATTAAGAAAAATGAATAATTTTCCCCAAAATTTCATGCCCAGACCTTTAAAATGAGACCTCTCCCAGCTTTCTACGGCCTCCCGTTCACTCACAATTTCATTGTAAAATTTTGGGCTTACGGAATTAGATATATAGATTGCCATATTACTTGCACAATGACCATTTTTTTACTTTTTTAAATTTAAAGTTAGTGTACGAAATTTTACCACTAACTAGTTATTAAGTATAGTATAAACTTTATACTATACTACTGGGGAGCGAGCAGGTGTAGTGGTTTGTGCGCGGGACTTCAGTCCCTGAGGTCCCGGGTTCAAATCTCGCCAAGTCACCAATGGATTTTATCCAAGTGATAATGCCGCAACCCCTAGGTCTAGCCTGAGTGAAAAACACTCCCAGGCTCGTGCCTAGCGTCATAGGACAAAAAAAAAACTACTATACTACCATATACTTCTTTAGCCTACTAAAATACTATTCTAAATTTCGTGTACTAACTTCAAATTTTGAAAAGTAACAAAAAATTGTATTTTCAAGTAATATGGCAAATGTGACATAGGCTAATAACATAAAGTACAAACTTATTTGTATTTTGGTGAGTGATTATTTAATGATTATTGCACAACACAATTTTTTTAGATCCAGTGGATGTTGGCTCTCACTACGTCACCAAAATAAAAATTTGTAATCTAAAAAAAAATGAAAATTCTCTGAAATTTCTTCGGTTGACATAAAAATATATGGTTGGGATTTATGGTTGACGATGAAGACTTATAACATACTGGATGTTCGGTTATTACTTGATTATAAACACAGCTTCCTGTTTTAACTGATTCAATAATCGGACAAGTATTGGATTCTATAGGGTAGCTTTAACAATGCTTATAGTTATAGCAGATGAATAAGGTCCCTAAAAAGTTACTTATTTTACCACATGGTTAAATGTTAAACTTATACTTATCTTGTTGTCATTAAATAAACAATTTTAAAGAGTAGAATTCACATATTCGGTGTAAACGTATTCCTAAAGCTCTAAATAATTATTGATCTCAAATTTCAATAAAGATAGACGTTTAATCAAATTGAGTAACACGGGGTAGTTAAGGTGGCTAAAGGTGTGGTTGGGGATAGTAAAGGTACCGTTATGCAGGCTTAACTGTTAAGGCCGACTTTATAACACCCACACGCATAACATGGATAACGGTAAAGCCGAATAGGCTATAAGCTTCTATACAGCCGGTTTGATGAACAGTACTAGTACATTAATATCAATATCAATACTAATCAAATTAAAAATACCCCAGCCGCAGAAAACCTGAGGACTTACCGAATTTACATTTTGTCTGAATTGATTTTTAATTAAATCTATTTCAATGGCATTAGGTTAAAAGAGTACCTAGATTAGGTACTTCAAGGAAACTAATAAACTGCATTTTTCAGTTAAAGCTTTGAATAAAATAAATGAATTTGACAAGTTTATTCAAAATATGTAGATAAACAAGCAAACTACAACATTTTACAATATTCTCCGTAAAAATAACATATGAATTTTAAATTTTCAATTTTTTGAAATTTCTCCATGACCAATAACCGTACAAAAACACTTTGATATACAAATAAAAAAAAAAATCTCTTTAAAAGGGTCTAGAGAAAAATTGGAAAATTTTGTGTTTTGAGAGTCAAAAATTAGAAAAACAATTTTTACCCAAAAAAACCTCCCGTAAAACTCCGTTCCCATGGTCCGATCATGCTAGTTTGCGAACTCATTCAAGTTTATCTCGCCTTACACCTTTAAACCAAATTATAGTTATACTGTATAGTTTTATTGCGCAAATAAGATGAAACTATCTAAAACATAAACAATTAGGACCAAAGGTTTAATATCTTATTATGTAAAAAGTTATCTAGATGGAATTAAAATTTCGTGAAAGACAACTACTATAACTTGACAAAAACTTAATCAATCCGTATTTGTGAAAATCGGAAAGCAAAACTATTTATTTCGAACTAAATACAAAATGTAGCCCTCCCTGTTATAAAAGATCCATACGAAACGATTCAAAACAGCTAACAAAGAGTGAATGAATGAATGAATCCTTTATTATTTCAGTACAGTACATCAGTTACAATGGTACAAACAACGATTTATGAAATGTAATCCCCAAATGGGCTAATGCCTGTGGTTGGGTTTGAGTCCATCATCCGCACAATAAAACAATAAATTTAGGCTACTTTTAAAAAGGGAAAATAAGATATATTGTACACAGAATTTTGTTTACAAGAAAAGATAAATAATAAAAAAACTAGTTTACGAGATAAATATATACAAAACGATACAGTATATGAAAAATGAATGAAAAATGAATGCATGAAACTTCGGAAAACTCATTTAGAGACTATTCATTCCTAAATTATATTTTTAAGTTTACATCACAAAAAAGGTGTTCATCCTCACTTTCATTTAGCCTTCACTACACAATGAATCAAGCATGTACCAATAACACACACATAATGAAAAAGCTGATAGAAGTTAAACAAACGTGTTTACACCCAAAATTCAATAGTCTACCAACCATATAAAAGCTTGTTCTCCAAGCTAGGAGAGTTACAATTAACCTACAACCGACATCATGCGTATCTACTTAGGTCTATTCCTATTAGCACTTCTACTATGTAAGTAAATGTAAACATAAAGCATATAATAATATAGTATATAATATATATATATATATATATATATATATATATATATATATATATATATATACTATCAAGAATTTAGTTCTATGATGTTATATTTGTAACACCTTATAGATAGATATTTATAGAGAGATATAGGAGATATTTATAGTAGTATTCCACCAATTACCAATCAAATAAGCCTTTGTTGTACAGAATACCTGTGAAATCAAGCCAACCACAAACATATAGTTGAAATAAAATAATAAACTATAAATTATTACGTCTGTGGGGAAACATCAAGCAATATCCTCTTCGGGAAAGTAACTACATTACTAAAAATATGGCTAATACTTTCAATTTTTTTAGCTAATCAATGAATATAAACTAAACTAAACTTTGTGACATCAAAGAAACTAAATATTTAAACAAGTTTCTTCTATCAAGTTTCTGCATGACAGAATAATCTACTGCTTATGTATGCTGACACCTTTTGGAGGGTAATAAATTTATATGAGATCATGTGGTCGTCACAAGCATGTAACAATAAATAATGCTTTGCGTATAAAAATCCTCCATTTTTAATGACATTGATGGAAATTAATCAAAATCCTTTCCATTGATTTTGGTAAATATAATGTCTGCTTTATCCCGTACTACGGTCTAAATTCTTAACACAATCAAAATAACAATACTTTTTCTTTCTAAATCAGTTATAGAAAAATTATACTGTATATTGTGAGTGCTATTTTGTCTTACCTTCACTATTTGCTTTTATGATGGTATTTTTTGTAAAATGAATATTAAAAATGATTGCCTAATTACTAGATAACATAGTGTAATTGATCGAAAGCTCAATGAAAAATGACACCTGAGTCGGAATTGATACTGGTTTGAATCAAACCAGCGACCTTACGATTTAAAGGCGTGCTCAATTATCACACACCTATCCAGTCAATCATATACATGTTTAAACTAACACAGATATATTGTTGATGTTACAGGCTCGCTAGTCGGCGTGGAGTGCAAAGGTGGTAGGGGTAGATCCAGATCAAGGGTACGTCCCGTTCCAGGAGGAGGATCTGACTGTCCCGACCCTGACAACCCTGACTGTCCTCCTGGAGAAAAATAAAGCACGACTTGTAAAATAGAACGATTTGACATCACATAGTTTGTATTATTTCAGTCACCCTATTATACCTAGTTTGCAATATGAACTAATGTGGTTAAACACGAATGGACAAAAAGAACAAACACTTGTGTATTTGGGTTGCCTGTGCTGAAGTTAACCTATATAAGAATATTAAAAACAATAATGTGAAAGTATGAAGATATAAAAAAAGAAATATATATAAACCCTTTTCAATAATAAACAATGATCAATGTTATTGCTTAACAGCATAATTTACACACACAAATAATTCCGACCCGATGTGATATAAATGCATGATACAAGGTGAGATAATAACACTGTTAAAAGGTCCTATATACAATCTACAAGGGTGATTCAATTAAACACAGCCCTCGCCTTTCATCATGTTCGCTATTTAAAAAAGGACAGGGTTGCGCCGATTTGTATTCTTGATATGTTAATGTTTCAAGTTATCGTTAAAATGCAATATTTATGATTTTTTCCCATTTCATGTTGATATCAGGAAAATTATTTTTTGGATTTTGAACTTACATTACAGTAAGATCTAAGTACCTAATAATATAAAATAAGAACATTGGCATCATGGACATACAGATAATTGATTTGTTTTGTATTCGTGGTTCAGAAAAACACATTTCCCAGCCAATGATCCGAAGCATATAAAAAAATATTTTTTCTTCAACACATATAAATACAAAATAATATACTTCCTTGGAACTACGTCACCACATTATACAGTGCTCGTGGCAAAGGTAAAAAAAAAAAAAAAAATTATATTTATCAACTAGGTGAGTCCAGTCTTTTTACTTGAACACAAGTTGCAGAGAAAATCTACCTCCAAATATAACCAATATTTTAATTTAGAAGAACATTTATCCAAGGTAAAACAAACTTAAAGTAGTATTCGAGACCATTATAGGCCTTCTGATAAGAATGTCTGACAATGACTTTTTTACTACAAGTAACTGGGCAATTTCTTTATTATTTCGTATAGTAATATAAAAAAAAATAATTTTCCCAGTATTTTCACTGCATACTAGGAAGAGTTTTGGTATCTCACTCAGAAAATACCGGCAAAGAACTATCACGTTTATTACTTTTAGTTGTTGACCTTAAAATACAATTTTGAGTAAACCTTAATTTTTTAATAACGCCCTAATTAATTTTTTTTAAAGTCCCACCCCAGCATTGAATTACTGAATTGCATACTGGAGTCTTGAATCGTCTAGAGAAAATTACAGAGCAGGAAGTTAACAGTTTTTACGAATGTTTTATAGAAAATTCTTTTAGATTGTTTAAATTTTGTGTGTGGGCTGGAAATATTTTTGTCCCGGTTTAGATCTTCATCCAAAAATACTCCGAGATTTCGAAAACGATTGAGCAAATTGATTTGCAAATTCATGAAATTAGATTACTATTTGAAGAATGATAAGTTAGATTGTTTGAAAAATTGAAAACAACTATTTATTAGACTGAAATTGACACATTTTTTCTTATTAGTATTTAGCTACATTTTATTTGCCTTACACCAATTACTCAACCGTTCCATAAAGACACGTTTTAGTCAGACCATCACGGAATGTATCTGGTTACCAATGTCTTTTAAAGCCTTTTCAAATACCAACAGCTCATCGTACAAACAAATTTAGGTACTTCAAAACTAGCTTAACTTACTTCAAAATCTTCCTCAAACACTCATAAAGCTGTAAACCTGACGCGAAGAGAGATAGATTTTACAAAGACGGTTTCAACGGAATCCTGTTGGGGTCGAGCGGCAAATCCTGACTTAATCCTTTAATGATCAACAAGAGAGTTAGGCTGGAAGATTTCCCTTGTATGTAACGTTGCGGAACTACTACTTAACAACGATAAAGTACTAGTCAACTTTTTTTTACTTTAAGAGGTTTGTGTTGCATTCGATCACCACTTTCTCTATACAATGGTAGCGTTTAAAGCCCAAGTTATCTTAAATAATCTATTAATTTAGTTTTATTGCTCCTGATTAGCTTCATTTTTATATTCCGTTATGTTTCATAATAGATGAATTATTAAAAAAAATAATTGCTTCAACCTCAATTACTTATTACTGTATGATGAATAAACAATTACCACGATATTTAAAACAAATCATTAATTCACAAGTGACATTTTATTGGAAAATATATTTGTTACAAGGGTGGGTTGTAGTATATTTGGAATAGCATTCAGATTGAGCGTTGTTATAGGAATACGGATTTACTTGGAAATGTCAGGCTTTAGCTAAAGTGGGACCAAACTAGCTTTAATTCCATCGCTTCAACACATTTTTAGGATGAATGCAATACATATTTTACGAGTGGGCTGTCAACAAGCTGTAAAGCCTTTCGAATGATTCCATGATTTTTCTAAAGTATGAGTGTTTTTTTGTTACAATACATGTGCGAACAACTTAAACGGTTACTGAAATCCTAAAAACAGTATCCTGATTACCATCATTTTACGGAGGAGAGAAAAAATTTAAAAATTCTTCTTCAACAACTGTAATATTTTTCGCTAATGCTCTGATGTTATGTTTCGTAAATAGGCCAACTAATATTCTTCTAAAATGTTCTTTGCACATACTCTTGTAAAAATTGAAAAAATATTTTGTAACTAGTTTAGTTTTGTAAACAACTTTCAAATTTTTCTGTGGTTTTATGGGCAAGTAACGTAGCAATCCAAATAAGGAATTTGTTATGTTGTTGTATTAGGGTTGTTGACAATCTTAACAAACTCTTGGGGGTTTCGTCATTGCCTTCGCCATTGCAATAAGATTGGGTGATCGAGTACGTTACTAAATTACATCAAGTTAAGGACAGATTTAAAGTGATTAGTTGTGTGGAACTAATTTCGGGCTATATGGAGAGTTTATACAGTGTGTAAATTAAGTCTTGAAACAGATCTGTATTTTTAAACCGAAATATAAATAACCGATAGAAATATTGTTTTTGTGGTGTTGACTGTTAACAAATGTTCCGTAATTTTTTACATCGAAAATATTTTTTAGCCCCCCAAACAGGGTAGGGGTTGACTTTTTTTTCAAATATCAACCCTTATTGAGTGACCCCTCATTTTCAAGGATTTGTCAAAAGAAACACAATGACGCAAACCCGAGGTGGATATCTCACCCCTAGCCAAAATGGCAGGTATTCCAACATATGATTTAGTGTATGTGAAAAAGTACAAATTTTACAAATAGTGAAACAAATCTGTATTTTTAAACCCGAAATAGATAGAAATATTGTGTTTGTGGAATTGATTGTTAACATAGGTTCCGCAATTTTTTATATCATTAATATTTGTAAACCCCAATATCATGGTAGGTGGGGGGGGGGGGGTTGATTTATTTTTTTAATAACAACCCCTATTGAGTGACCCCTCATTTTTAAGAGTTTGTCAAAAGGAATACAATGACGCAAATCCGAGGTAGATATTTAATCCCTAGCCTAAATAGCAGGTTTTCCAAAATTTGATTTACGTGAAAAAGCATCAATGCTACAACAGAATATTTCTATCTATTTCGGTTTTAAAAATACATATTTGTTTCAAGACTTAATTCACTCACTGTATTATAGCTCTCTTCCTCTCTCGACTTACATAACTTACGAAACATTTTCAAAAGGGAAATTTGGGTCACTTTAAGAAATCATTAAAACACGTATTTTGTTCACAAATGGAAAAACCTGACTGATTATATGACAGGAAGGTAATACTGCACATTTTATAATAGAACATAATAAAGTTTTACTGTTTGATAAAGTTAACACCCCTGCCGTAAAGAAATCTAACTTCCCTAGCCAGATTGCAATCTTACTAAACACTTTACCTTAGTCTTTATTCCCCATTAAAACATTACGTTCAACGAGTACCTAGGTGTGCTTAAATTTCAGTATACAGTAGGTATAATGGGATTGGATGTGAGCTGATCTAGTGGTATAGCGTGGAACTTCGGTACCAGGTTCAAATCCTGCCAAATCCCCGAAGAATTATTTTCTAAGATATAATGCCGCACATCCTAAATCTAGCATGAAGTAACGTGAAAAATTATCCTAGGCTAGAACTTAGTGTTCTAGGACATACAACTGTCAAATACGAGTAGGATAAATAGGGTTGCTGTAAAAACTAAAACTATGCTATGTAAAATTATTCTATTTTTTACAACTCTTGCATTATTTTCAAGGAGGACAGCTAGGGTTGCCAGGGGGACAACTAGATCCTCCTCCTGGAACGGGACGTACACCCGGAGATGTTCTGGACCTACTGCTTCCTCTACCACCTCCGCCTCCTGCTCTACATTCCACGCCGACCAGCGAGCCTGTAACATCAACATTAAAATATCTGTATTAGTTTAAAACATGTATATGTGTCTGGGTAGGAGTGTGGTTATGTTGCACGCCTTTAAATCTGAAAGTCGCATATTAGCATTATGTTTACAAACTACCGTGTTTGGGTTATGATGCCAAAGACTCTCAATACAAATTATCACTTTTAACCAACCTTTTATCTATCCATAACTAATGTGTATGATGTATCATTAGTTTGTTAAACAATAAAGCAATGAGCTGTTTGATTCTTCTAGTTGGTGCGAACATTTAAATATTGTACAGCGAACGATTTTCTAGCAGAGTTACCAGTGTTACTACCTCCAGTATAATTGCCAAATTGTTATTCTGAGAATAGTATTTTAGTTAGGCGTTACAGTTTACAAATCATCTGAAAAATCCCCAAAATATAAAATAATTCTTAAAAATTACAATCAGACCGACAAACAGAAATATAGGAATTTTAGGCCCATTCTTATATTGCATTTTACTTAGCCCAAGGAAAAAGTGCAAAAAATATGTCCAGACAATTTGGAAACACCCAGTATTTTCGAAGCTCAAAAAACTATTCAAGTATAGATTAATGTATATTTTTCAAAATACATTGCTTACAATTTCAAGATTTTATTATTTATTGCTAACACAATGTTAATGTTGAGTTGCATATTTTAGT